AGAGAACAGTCCGCGCTCAGAAAAGAGTAACACACAGAGCAGCCGCACACAGCGTCACCCTGAGGGTGGGAGCCCCTGTGGTCCAGGCTGTGAGGACGGTGTTTCGTTTTTGCTGGGTTTCCGTTGACAGCACCTCAGTACTGTCCGTTGACAGCACATCTCAGTACTGCCCAAGGGGAAGTGGAGGGCTGTCCCCACCCTGTGGAGGGATGTGGACAGAACCTTCCTGTTGTTGCCCTGATCCTCCAAGAAGGCCCTGTGTCACTGAGCAGAGAGGCACAAACGGTTCAAACACGGCCCCGGGAGCACAGGCTGCAGGCAGCGTTGTTACAAGCACTTGCCCCAGAAACAGCCACATTTCGTCAAGGGCGTGCATCCTACAGGATGCTTAAAGAAAAAGGAGCCACAGTAAATGCTGCATTAACATCCACTGCGCACATTTTAAAACTGATTTCTGCCTCAAGACTTACCTACTGGAAAGCTCTCTGTCAAGTGGCATTGGGGTCACTTCTGGTCAAGATGGCAGAGCAGGTGCATTCTGCTCGCCTCCTCCCACTACCACATCTGCACGACAACCAAGTTACAGAACAACCACCCTTCAGAACCGCCTGAAGACTAGCTGATGAACAGAGCTATCACCACGGGTGTAAAGAAGTAGCCCCGTTGAGACTGGTAGGAGGGAGGGTGGAGACAGGAAAAGGGCTGGTCCCAAGCCCATGTGTGGCAGTAAGAATTGGGAGGGATGTCTCGGCTGCAGGGGGGCCCCCTGAGGAGTGAGGGCCCAGCCCTGCACCAGGCTCCCCAGCCCGGATCATTAGTGCCGGGAAGAGGCGTCCCCACAACAGCCGGCTCTGAAAATCGGTGGGGATTCTGTCCAGGTGAGACGGAGGGCTGCTGTAGACCCAGGTGTCCTCTTAAAGGGCCCGAGCGCAGACTCACTCGCTCACAAACACTTCCCTGAGCTCCAGCAAAGGGACAGCAGCTCGAACAATGGGAAAATGCCAGGGACAAACAGGGAGGCACTGGATTGTCTGGCTTCGGGCAAAGGCTGGAGGGGCAGCTGTTCCCTGGAGCAAAGTGCCTGCAGGCGCCATTGCTGCTTAGTTGAGCCCTCCTCCAATCCAGCATGCGAGTGCAGCCGGGCACTGAGTCTCTATGAGTCTCCATGAACCCCTCCACCTGATGATTCTCTCACCCCGCCCGGCCGAACCTCTTTCCGAGGCGAATCCACAAGCCGTTAGCCTGGGCTCACACTGGAATTTTCTAAAATCAAAGGCCCACAAACCCCAAACAAGAAGCGTCTGGCCTTGGTGAGCTGTTCGTTAAGCAGCCCCAAGCCTGGCAGTAGTGGTAACCAGCCTCGGTTCGCAGCATAACCCAGGTGCTTCCAACCCCAGAACAGGCAGCTACCAACCAAAAATCAACTTTGTAGCTCCTTCTAGGTGGTCCAGGCCAGATACAGGCAGCAGCTGGCCTTGTCCTGGAGCCCCTCCCAGGAGGCTCCAAAACCAACACGCCTGGTGGCTGGCTTCAGAACACGCCAGGACACCCCCAATTGGCACTACTTCTCCCTCGCAGTTAAGTGTTTTCTTATAGCCCTGCTTTTTTTCTTTCTAAGACTTAGAATTCCAAGCACACAGAGAAAGTGGAGGAAGTGTGCTGGGAACCTGGGCCCGTGGCCTGGGTCAAGCCTGCATTTTGCTGCACTTGCTGGGCGGCTCTGGGCAATCTCTGATGCCTCAGTGACCCATTGCCTGGGCTCCCAGTGCCCCCACGGGTGTGGACAGCAGTCAAGACTCAACTACAACAGGAGGGCACACAACCCACGGAAGGGACGCCCTGGGGGCGGAGGTAGGCTCAGTGAGAACTTCAACAAAGAGATAGGAAACATAAAAAAGGAGATAGAAATCATAGAACCAGTCAGAAATGGAGAATGCAGTAACTAAAAGTAATGCATTACCCAGGGGGCAGGGCAGGCGTGGTGCAGCCACTCACTGGTTGTCTTGCTTCCCGTAGGTGGTCCTTTGGTGTCCTGCTGTGGGAGATTGTGACCCTGGGGGGCAACCCCTACCCTGGAATTCCTCCTGAGCGGCTCTTCAACCTTCTGAAGACGGGCTACCGGATGGAGAGGCCTGACAACTGCAGCGAGGAGATGTGAGCAGGCTTTGCTGGGGCCCTGCCTCCCTCCTACGGGCACCAGGGTTTGGGCGGGGCACAGGCACTCTTCCTCCTCTCCTCGCAGCCCTGGGTGCCAGTCTGCGGTGAGCTGGGGGTGGGTAGTGACAAGCAGAGCATGACAGGGCAGAAGTCACAGAACCCCCCTCGGGCATGGCAGCAGATGCTGAGGATCCAACTCCACTGGGGAGTTGGGCTTCCTGGGGGGACCTACAAGGATGAGGGGGAGCTGAGCCCGCAGAGAGGTGTGGGAAGGATGAGATCAGACTAAGCAGCTGAGCCCAAGGCCAGACACCTGTGCCTGCAGGTCACTGGGAGGGGGGCCGGGAG